TTTCGTAGACTGTCTGTAGTCACGCTGCCTTCAGCGCCTCTCCGCATCCCATAATTACCCGCTGACTGCTGTGTGCATGCCCAGCCGCATGGTGGCTGTGGTTCACTACTCCCGACTCTCAGCAAGTGACAAGTTACCTCATTCAGCTGAAACAGTCATGGTGTAAATCTCGTGAGTCTCGTAAGGCTCATAGGTTATGCTTAGGATATAATTTAATATTGTATTATTATTTCTCATTTTAAATGCGTATAGTTACATTATTGATTACTGGTATCGCTATTTTTTATTGTTTTCTTATTATTCATTTTGTTTGATACAGTTTGATGACGAGTTTCATGGTCATAATCCCCTAACCCATCCCATTGGACATGTGTATTTTAGTATGCAATTTTAGCTTTTCAGGAACGCATTAGTTGCATTTCCATCAGATGGATCCTGCACAACACAGCCAAAGGAGGACGCATTTCTAGACTGCATTAGAGGGAGCCTTCGAAATGGGACAGCCTAAGATTCGGTGTGATGCGTTCGGTCTTCAAATGGAGCCACAAGTCGAGAAGTCTGTCTGGGGGTGAAGGGTTAGGCAGCACACATGCATACACACTCGCACTGAGACAGGGATCAGAACACACACACACACCAGATAGGGTAACAAGAGAAACACACCCTGAAACTGCACAAAGGGGGAATCAAGTGCACAGGGGAGACCTGGGAACTGGCCAGTCCAAAGTCAGACATTAGTCAACTATTCCTGACAATGGGGAAACCGGCTAGACTGGTTAAGTAGCCTAGTCAGGAGAATCCTGGCTGCAGTGCAGATGGTGGAGCAGAAAGCCGACAGCCAAATACTGATTCATCAAGCCATTCAAGTTGATTGGCTAACAGAGAAGAGTCTGAGTCAGGGATTGGCTATGAAGACCCAGCACACGTCATCAGCCTTGAGAATTTTCAGACAGCCAGCCGTCTACGTAGCTGTGCTGATCATCTAAATTACTCACCTCGGGCCAGTGCGCAGCTTCATTTCCAGCCCTGGCTTCACTCCTTCTAAATTCTTTTATCTACGTAACCCAGTTCACATCCAACCCATTCCTATTGTCAGATACACTGACACAGAAGTAATGGATATTCTCTAAGGAAGTATAGCAAGGAAAGATTCACATATTAGCTTTTTACAAATTAGGACATTGCCAGCAGAAATTAGCAAAGCTTTGTTAGGGAACACACAACTGTGTTATGGCCATTAAATTATGCAGTTTCAATTATGAGACTGGCCCTCAACTCTTTGTTTCATTGCGCAGAATACCCTAATAATAATAATAATAATAATAATAAAAATACAGTTTATTTTTTATAATACGCTATTAACAACAGTCACCCAGAGGTCCATGTTTTTGCTCCCTCTCAGCTCCCTGCCAGACAGTCCATGTTTTTGCTCCCTCGCGGCTCCCTGCCAGACAGCCCACATTTCTGTTCCCTCCAAAATGTAGACTGTCTGCGGGACCCCTGAGAACAAGGCTGAGAAACACTGGGTTATACAAACTGGTACATGAAACAGGGGAAAATGGAAAAGAGAAAGAAGGAAAAACATAAGACAACAGAAGTGAGGAACGAAATTCTCCTGAACAGGGAGGAAAAATTCCTCTGAGGCAGGGTGACCACTGTCGGACACCGTGAGCCAGGATAGTATTTGTAAACTACCGTTTTAATCAAAAAGACATGGATTTAATAATAATAATTCATACTTTATTGTCTCTGTGGGGAAATTGTGTATATGCCTCCCTCAGTGAGCTGTCTGTGAAGAGCAGCCAGCTGTTGGGGCGCCCAGGGGGTTAAGGGTCTTGCTCAAGGAGCCGCAGACATGCTGAGGCTGGGTTTGAACCAGCAACCTTCTGATTACAGGCACACAGGCTTAGCCCACTGAGCTTAATGTTCCCACATTAAATAACCAATATCAATATAACCAATATTATAACCAATCAATATTATATAACCATTATATAACCAATATCAGCAGCATTTCAAAATGGTTTCAGTCAAAGCCTACGAACTAATTCCCCTTGAACCGGTGGATGATGAGTGAAAGCAGGTCCACGATCAGTTCACATCTGCGCACTTTCCGGCACCGACAAGCAATCACTGACCTTGATTCAATGCTAATCGATGCAATGATTCCTCAGAGATCATTGGGGGGGGGGCATTCTGCCAAAAATCAATCACCCCACTAATGCAACTACTGTGCAATGAACAAAATATTGACTTATCACCAAGCAAACTGACTGTGCTTAAGGGTCTGAACATATCATATGGAGCTGAAGGTCACAACTGATTGTACGTAGGAGGGTGGATTCAGAGAACAGGGTGTAATAAATCCATTGAATATTTAGACAGGCAGCGGTCTACATACTTGTGCCAAGAAATGAATGTGCAATGTGGTTTTCTGGTTTTCTTTTGCTGTAATCCGATATGTAGCTGTTTTTAGTAGGTGGCCGGCTAATGTTCAGCCTTTTGTGCTGCGTCAGGTATACATGGCCGAGGTTGATTTCCAACCGTTTGTGATTTTTCATAAATTACTGGGAGATACTTATTAACGTTTGTTTTCTGGTGTGTTTCGGCTATACTGAATACTCTTGGTCCATGAATGCGTTGTTTGGGGGCAAATTGACCCCAAATATAAACCATTAAGATCCTTCCACTGTTGTTTTTACTGACACTGATGACACAGCGGTTGAATTAACAGCCCTCCCTTCCCCTTGTTTTCACTCCAACAACACAGCTTTGCTAGTACATGTGCACAGACACGTGGACTGTGAGTGTTACTATTACTGTGAGCACAAATCTACTGCTTCTCACCCCCCCCCTACAAGTGACTGTGATTCCTGTCACATTCCACAAGGGTCAGGGATATCGTTAGGGTGGGCTCAGGGTTAATATCGTTAACAAGAACTATAAGAAACCACCTCCCACCCATATTCAGACGTGCTCACAATGCCCCCCCCAATATATATTACAATTACGGCCTTGGTCCCTCCCAATGTTCACTCCATAACTATGACCTTGATTAAAATAATTTTATATATTATATAATATGTTATATTGTCTGGCATCCCCTGGATTTCCTGTAAATATCACAAAAATGAAACAAAAAATGTGATTTTACAATTTTCCTGTTTGGTTTTAAATAGATAAACAAAACCTATAAGCTGTTCTTAATTTTTTTTTTCTTTTTCCCATTTTGATTTTAAAACAGGACAATGTATTGTTGGTTTGGAAATGGATAACTCAAAGCATAAATAATACATGGAAAACTAATTAAAATTAAATTCCATTTCAAATGACAATTGAAAGCAATAAAAAAATAAAAACAAAATAAAGAAAAAGATTGTAGAGGAGGTGAGTCCAGGCAACTAGAGGAGGCAGTACCAAACCATCTGATTGGTTGGTTCCTCTAGTTGCTTGGACCCACCTCCCCTACAATGTAATTGGTTATTCCTCTGGACCAATCATTTTTCATTCTGCCCTCAGAACATTTTCATGTAAGAAAACTCCAATGAGCTAAATCAAGAGGCAAACAACAACAAAAACCTTTTGGAATAGATAATAGTTATAGTTATTTTGTTTCTGTTCAGGACTGTTTGGCTTGAAAACAGAAAGACAAGGCTTCATCGATGTGGTCATGACAAACTTGCTCTTCTAAGAGTTATATGCAATAGGTGGATCAAGCTATTGCCCCTAAGAAATGCCATTTGGCTGAACAGCATCGAGACCTGTTAGAAACTTATATACCTGGATCATGTCCCCCCATAATCTCCTTTGCGCGAGGCTAAACAGATTCAGCTCAGCTAACCTCTCCTCGTAAGACATTCCTCTAAGACCAGGAATCATTCTTGTAGCCCAACGTTGAACCTTTTCCAAGGCAGCAATGTCCTTATTAAGGTATGGTGACCAAACCTGCACACAATATTCTAGGTGGGGACTTACCAAGGAATTATATAAATCGTAGCAACACCTCCCTTGACTTAAACTCCACACACTTAGAAATGTAACCCAACATCCTACTGCCCTCTTTTATTGCTTCTCTACACTGGCGAGAGTGGGACATGGAAGCATCAACATAAACACCGAGGTCATTCTCATACTCAGCTACCTTTATTTCAGTGGAACCCATAGAATATCTGTACTTGATATTTCTGCTCCCTGCATGGATTACCTTACATTTATCTACGCTAAATTTCATCTGCCAGGTATCAGCCCAGTCATTAATTAAATCAAGATCCCGTTGTAGCCTCTGTGGTGCTAGTTCAGTATCTGCTACACCACCCACCTTGGTGTCGACTGCATATTTAACCAGTTTACTGTATATATTGCTGTCAATATCATTAATGTAAATTAGGAACAATAGTGGTCCTAAAATTGAACCCTGCGGTACCCCACTATGAACGCAGGCCCACTGTGACATTGCGCCTCTAATAACTACCCGCTGCTTCCTGTCTGTTAACCAGACATGTTGGACATGACTGAGGGTCTACAGGGTCGTGTGACATACAGTAGCGGTAATCTGACGTGCTATTAGTAGTATACATTTCTTCCCTTTACCTTATCATTCCATCACATTTGCTAGTACATGCACACATACACACACCCACATACTCACACACAGACACAAAGCCTCTTTGCATGAAAAAGAGTTAGGTAACAATGTTTCCATTCACTGACGGCACAGTAATTGTTTCTTACTGCCCAAAGAAAAATAAGAAAGTGCCCCTTATGGGTACAATGCATAATGATGCAGTTGTGGGTGAGAGACAGGATGGAAAGCATTGAATGATTCTCAATTACAGCTGAAACCAAGGGCAGGGCTGACATTCTGGATGTGGCGACCAGCACATACACCTGCTGATGTCTGATTGCCTGCTAGCTGCTGGCAATTTTTTTTTTCCCATTCTTGATGTTCTTTGTTACAATAAGGAAATGCCCAGCAAATATCTGCAAAACTTTAGCAGGAAAGGGCCTGACAAGGACGGATGAAGCAACAGCAGCCCAGATGGGTATAAATTGAGCTGTACCTCTTTGTCTCAGCATCCAGACCTTCAGCTCAGTGACAGAAACAGGCAGGTTCTTCACACCTGTGTGACGGAGCAGCTCAAAGACCAGAATCAAACGGAAACGAGTGCAAAGACCCCACAATGAAACTCCTCTGCATCGCTGTCGTCTGCCTCAGCATCTGTGTTGTTTTCAGCACAGCTCTCCCTGTTACTGAGGTATGTTCCTGTGCCGTTCTGTCTGAGGTCATGCTTAAAGCTATGGTCTTGCTCTCTGCTTTGCTGCTCTGGTCACTTTCTAATGCTAACGGTCACACAACACCAGCAGGTACAAGAGACGGACGGGAGCACCGCTGGGCTTAGTGGACAGGGGAACACTGCACCAACGGTATGGCACTGCTTTGTTTAGATAAAGTAAAATAAATTCTGTATATCCATAAATATTGTTCTGCATCTCCATCAGTCTTATTGTAATATTAGATGAAGACAGGAATAAGCAGGATTCCAATCTTGCTCCCTGCTTCACTGCCACAAGTTACTTTCTGACTCTAACATTCACATAATACCAGCCGATGCAAGTGACGGAGAGGGTCACCACAAAGACTGCTGTATACACTAATGAAAAGGTATGATGCCATTATATATATATATATATATATATATACACACACACAAAATAACTTGCGAACTTTCAGACATATGAACGAAGAGGACTGTAAGTCCAAATTGTGTTCCTTGGGCTCCCGTTTCCTATCCGCAACATCAATTTTTTGTGTCTGCGTGCCAATTCCGCCTAGTACGACTTCTGGCCGCTACTCCCGCCGCGCAGCAGTGTAGCGTGCGTACTCCCGGCATCCTAGTTCTTTGTACTTGCGTATACCCTTAAAATGATGTTGAATAACGACTTACGAACATTTCAAGTTACGAACGGCCATTCGGAACGTATCTTATCCAAAGTTTAACATAGTCTGAAAAAAAGTAATGAGCAAATTCCCATTTACACCCAGTAGGTGGCTCATCTCCCCGTACCCCTGCTTCGCAGAACTCTATCCAGGCTGCCTCTCCTGTCCTTCCTGAATGCATTTGTTGTCGCATTATTGTAGTTTCTGTGTCAATAAAATGTATAAAAAGCATGATATTCATTGCTCACTCATCCCTTGATACATGACATTTTTTCACTGATCTATACTCTCTTGAGAATCAGAATAAAACGTCAGAATCCCTTTCATTCAAGAGAGAGAGAGTACAGCATTGTACAGTCCTGTATACTGTCTGCAATGTCTTACTGTGCGTACAATTAACCTAACATATGCAGATACATGCAAACCACGTTACATATGGGGTCCACGAACGGTTCGCTATTCTCCACGGTTTTACTCGTAGCTATCTGTGGTAGGTCTTCGAATGTATCACCATGTGATATGGAAGGGCTACTGTATACCCATAAATATTGTTCTCTATCTCCATCAGGCTGCCATTATCCAAATGGTACTAGATGAAGACAGTGATGAGCAGGATTTCAGTCTTGCTCCCTGCTTCACTGCTATGGTCACTTTCTAACTAACAGTCACATAACACCAGCAGGTGCAAGTGACGAACGGGGTCACCGTTGGGCCTAATCAAGATGTGGGCACCACAAAGATTGCTGTAAACACTAATCCAAAGGTATGATACCTGTTTTTTGGATAAGGTTAAATGACTTCAGTATATCCATAAATATTGTTCAGGCATCCATCCATTCCATCCATTACCATCTGCTTGTCTAGGGTTCGGGTCGCGGGGTAGCAACTTCAGCAGAGATACTCAGACCTCTCTCTCCCCAACCACCTCTACCAGCTGTTTGGGGGGATACTGAGGTGTTCCCAGGCCAGCCGAGAGATATAATCCCTCCAGCGAGTCCTGGGTCTGCCCCGGGGCCTCCTCCCTGTAGGACATGCACGGAAAACCTCTCCGTGTAGCCGCCCAGGAGGCATCCGCACCAGGTGTCCAAACCACCTCAACTGGCTCCTTTTGACGTGGAGGAGCAGCGGTTCTACTCTGAGACACTCCCGGATATCCGAACTTCTCACCCTATCCCTAAGGGAGAGCCCAGACACCCTGCGGAGAAACCGCATTTCGGCCGCCTGTATTCACGATCTCATTCTTTCGGTCATTACCTACAGCTCATAACCATAGGTGAGGGTAGGAACAAAGATGGACCAATAGATCGAGAGCTTGGCTTTTTGGCTCAGTTCTTTCTTAGCCACGACGGACCGGTTAAGCGCCTGCAGAACTGCAGATGCCGCGCCGATCTGTCTGTCCAGCTCTCGATCTCTTCTACCCTCACTCGTGAACGAGACCCAGAGATACTTGAACTCCTCCACTTGAGGCAGTACCTCCTCCCTGACCTGAAGAGGGCAATCCACCCATTTCCAGCTGAGAACCATAGTCTCGGACTTGGAGATGCTAATCCTCATCCCCGCCGCTTCGCACTCGGCTGCGAACCGCCTCAGAGCACGCTGGAGGTCCCCAGCAGATGAAGCCAACAGGACCACATCATCTGCAAAAAGCGACACAATCCTTAGGCCACCAAACTGGACACCCTCAACACCCTGCACGTAGAAATCCTGTCCATAAATATTATAAAGAGGACTGATGACAAAGGGCAGCCCTGGCACAGCACAACATGCCCTCGGAACACGTTCAACCAAGCTTCTGCTCCGGTCATACAGGGGAACAAATCACCCTCAGTAGCAGGCCCTGAACCCCATACTCCCGAAGCACCCCCCACAGAGCACCTCGGGGAACCTGGTCGTAAGCCTTCTCCAAGTCCGCAAAACACATATAGACTAGATGAGCAAACTGTCAGGCTTCCTCCAGTACCCTTACAAGGTATAAATCTCGTCCAGTGTTCCACGGTCTGGAACAAATACCATATTGTTCCTCCTGAATCCAAGATTCTACTATTGATCTCACCCTCCTCTCCAGTACCCCGGAACAGACTTTCCCAGGAAGGCTGAGAAGTGTGATCCCCCTATAGTTGGAACACACCCTCTGGTCCCCCTTCTTTAAATAAGGGGACCACCACCCCAGTCTGCCAATCCAGTGGCACTGTCCCTGACCTCCACGCACTGTTGAGAAGGCATGTCAGCCATGTCAGCCGGGGATCCGTCCACCAGGGCCTCCCTTGGCTGCCACCCCATCCACATTGTTCAGGCATTACTATAATATTACTAGATGAAGATGAGCAGGATTTCAGTCTTGATCCCTGCTTTACTGCTCTGTCGTGAGTTTCCCAAAGCCTTCTTAACGCTATGTTGTTTGTAAATTCGATCTTCTAACATAGAACCTACAAACGACGTAGCGTTAAGACGGCTTCAGGAAACTCACCCCTGGCCACTTTCTAACAGTCACATAACACCAGCAGGTGCAAGTGATGGAGAAGGTCACCGTTGGGCCTTATGAACACATGGACACCACAAAGACTGCTGTGTACACTTTTCCTAAGGTATATCATCTGATTTTTTTCATAAGGTTAAATGACAGTGTATCCATAAATATTGTTCTGCCTTTACTATGATACAGACAGTCCTCACTTACAAACCGAGTTCCATTCCTACAACTAGGTCATTAAGCAAATTGGTCGATAAGCCAGGAGCCGTCCCTTACCGATATTTCAAGCATAATACTGGCAGTGGGTTTGTGTCAGCCGTCTTTAGGTATTGTTTAATGTCACATTTATATGTATGTTAAAGGTAACATATCGAAATAAAAGTTGATAGCAAGTTCAATGTAAACTGGTATGCAGAGTTGTGTAATTCAGGTCCAGAGAGTAAAAGTCCAGAACAAGATTTTGTTTCAACCAACCAGAGCATTAAGAGTCACAGTGAGAGAGTATTCAATTGGTTAGTTGAAAGAAAATCCTGGTCTGAACTTTTATCCTCTCGGGAACTGAATTACCCAACTCTGCTGAAATAATGATCAGTTACTGCAACCAATATACAGCCTTCCTTCGCCAACCCAAATAAATCAGAGAGCTGAACAAACACAATAGAATAGAAAAGCTGTGCTGCCGTTTGCACAACTAACGTTCTCGTGCAGCATATGATATTAGACGGCCGGAGAGCTGGTCGGCAAACAGGGAGGTCGTTAAGTTAGGAGTGTCTGTATTACTAAATGAAGACATTTCTGAGCAGGATTTCTTCTGCACTGCTTCACAGCTAACGGTCACAAAACACCAGCAGGTGCCAGTGACAGGCGGGGTCACCGTTAGGCCTAATGAAGAGGGGGACACCACAAAGATTGCTGTAGATACTAATCCAAAGGTACAGTATGATGCCTGTTTAGGCAATGCCTCATAATGACTTCAGTATATCCATAAATATTGTTCTACCATTATTATAATATTACTAGATGAGGACAATGATGAGCAGGATTTCAATCTTGCTCCCTGCTTCACTGCTCTGATCACCATCTGAGTCTGATAGTCACAAAACGCCAACAGGTGCAAGTGACGGAGAGGGTCACTGCTGAGACAAACGGACACGTGGACACCACAAAGGGTGCAGCTGACACTAATCCTAAGGTTTGATATCTGTCTTTGTCTGGATAAGGTTAAATAACTTCAGTATATCCATAGATGTTGTTCTGCTATTTGTATAATACTCCTAGATGAAGACCTTTATGAGCAGGATTTCAGTCTTGCTCCCTGCTTCACTGCTCCTGATACTTTCTAACTGTCACATAACACCAGCAGGTGCCAGTGACAGGCGGGGTCACCATCAGGCCTAATGAAGAGGGGGACACCACAAAGATTGCTGTAAATACTAATCCAAAGGTATGATGCCTGTTTAGGCAATGCCTCATAAATAGGAAGATGAGCTCAAGTGGCCTTCAGAAAGAATGGGAAACATTAAGTGCAGGTGTGAAGTGCTCTGCTAGGACAGTTCGTAACAGACTCCTAGAAGCAGCACTGAGGTCCCATAGAGCAAGGAAGAAGCCCTTCATCAATGAGAAACAGAGAAAAGCCAGGCTGCAGTTTGCTAAAAAGATGTATTTCACACAGACGCACACCCATAAATTGACAAATGAGTGAAGCTGAACATATTACTGCGGTTTTCAAATTTTTTCCAGAGCTGTGTGCGTGTGTGTGTGTGTGTGTGGATTATGTTTATGTTACATTGTGGGGACCAAATGTGCCCCAAAATACATGTTTTTTGATGTAGTGGGGAGCATTTTTCAGGTCCCCACAAAGACCTGTGAATGCAATAAAAAAACAAAAAATGCCAAAAGTATTGTATTTTGTTTGGTTACTTACGATTAAGGTTAGGTCTGGGTTAGGGTTAAGGTCTTCATATTGGGATTAGAGTTTTCCCCATAGAAATGAATGGAGAGTCCCCAAAAACCTCTGTGTGTGTGTGTTATATTTGGATAAATAATTCCAGTACAGTGCAACCCCTATATGTGCAGTTCCAGTAACCGCAGTTCAATTATCTGCAGCTTCCTTGCTGCGGCCAAAAGAAAGATAAACACCATCATAATGTGTTATACTGGGTAGAATAAGCCATCATAATGCATTATGAAGGTGTTTATAGTGCTCCTGATAATTTCCAACTAACGGTTACATAACACCAACAGGTGCAAGTGACAGGCGGGGTCACCGTCAGGCCTAATGAAGAGGGGGACACCACAAAGATTGCTGTAGATACTAATCCTAAGGTATGATATCCATTTTTTTATAAAGTTAAATGACTTCAGTATATCCATAAATATTGTTCTACCATTATTATAATATTACTGCTGAGACAAACGGACACGTGGACACCACAAAGGGTGCAGCTGACACTAATCCTAAGGTTTGATATCTGTCTTTGTCTGGATAAGGTTAAATAACTTCAGTATATCCATAGATGTTGTTCTGCTATTAGTATAATACTCCTAGATGAAGACCTTTATGAGCAGGATTTCAGTCTTGCTCCCTGCTTCACTGCTCCTGATACTTTCTAACTGTCACATAACACCAGCAGGTGCCAGTGACAGGCGGGGTCACCGTCAGGCCTAATGAAGAGGTGGACACCACAAAGATTGCTGTAAGTACTAATCCAAAGGTATGATTTGTAGTTTCCTGCAGCTCCAACAAAAGAAAAAATTCCAGAAATAAACAGTTCATACGTTTCAAACTGCGCACCAAGTGAATTTAGGCTGTAACATGGTGGAAGCTACCAGCACAGTCATGCCCAGTACATGACTCATCCCCCTTTTCTGTCATACCCATACTTCCCCGCAGAACTCTCATCCAGTCTGCCTCTCGAGTTCTTGCTTATCACATTCATTGACATGTTAAAAAAATGGGTAACAATTTACTTTACACTTTACTTTAGCCATGTTTATTATGCAGTTTGAATGCTCTATGAAGCTCTTATCTATAATGCATTATAGATACCTTCATAATGCATTATAATACATTAATAAAGTAATGCATTATAATGGTCAGTATAAGCCATTTGTGGATGGTTCCACTGTCTTTCACGGTATCTGCAGTAGATCTCGGAACTTAACACCCACGGATATGGGGGGCTACTATATATTCAATAGTGATGTAGTCAAGACCACCTAAACTGAGACCAAGCCATTACCAAGACCAGAGTGTATTAAGACCGAAATAAGACCAAGACCAAGGGAGGGCGAGACCGAGACAAGACCAAGACCAAGGAAAGGGGAGACCAAGACAAGATCAAGACCACTGTAGGTATAGACGAAGTAAAGCTCAGAAACAGAGTAATGTTTGAGTGTACATTATACAGCACACTATAAAATGTGGAGCATAGGCACCATCTTGGAGCTAGGCAGTATGGTCTAAGTCAGGGATCACCAACCTTTTTGAAACAGAGCTACTTCATGGGTACTGAGCCATACAAAGAGCTACCAGTTTGAAACGCCCTCCTAAACTTCTCTAAACTTCATGTAAAATAAACTTGTTTTAAATGCTTTCTTTTTTAGATATTGTCATTTTCAAATCTATATAAATGCAAATGTGATTAAAGAAGAATAGCAACAGAATAAAATTAAATTTTAGACGCTGCTCACTGGTGAGTTGTGCTATTTTTAGAACAGGTCCGCGGGCGACTCATGTGGTCCTTGGGGGCATCCGGGTGCCCGCGGGCACCATGTTGGTGACCCCTGGTCTGAAATTTGTGTCACAGTATAATTTGAACCATGGATGTTTTTGCTTAAAATTTCAATATATTGCTTCTGTACAAATGTAACATTTTTTTCAAATAAGACACACCTTATTGGTTGCATTTGAACTTGAAGCAGGACGTTTTACACCCAATAACAGAACTGTGTTAACCATTTGAACCCAATACATTTTTGAGCATTTTTCTATCCCTTCGATTTTAGGCTTATTATATTGTATTTACATGAGTTGGCCAAATGGGACATTCTAGGCTACTCAGATATGTCATAATTTGATGTGTAAACGCTCTTCATCATCCCTCTCATGAGGAAAAACGACTTGCGCCTATTGAAATTTCTCCATTTTTAGTCTCATCTAACATAACAATTTGCAGGCACTACAAATATAATATTATAAATGTTGAGATCTCTGAGATGTGGGAATGCAGGGATTTTCATTGGGGAGCTTTCTGTGAGTTGGTATTGTGAAGGAATACATGGTTAGTGCCAGACGGAAATTAATATCTTTGATTTTGCATCCATTTGGTAACTTGTTGACGTTATCTGATAGGCAGCAATGCATGGTTTTATGTTTTTGTATATTTTTTTATGTAATACTTATACATCTTAACGAAATTGAAATAGAAAAGCATTGTTTAGTTTATAGTCCACTGGATACACAGGCAGACAAACAAACAGTTTTAGAGTCTAATACTGAATGTCTATCGCTATCGTTTTTCTGCCTATTTACTCTATGATTGGTAAAGTGAAATTTGAGAAGGATGCTTTCAGTTGGCATTTTAGCCAAACAACAAATCAATGCTGTAGCACGTCATTGTGTTTACATGCAGGGGGTGTTCCTCTTACACCATGGGGGAATTCAATTTCAGCTGTTTTAACGGAGTTCAACATCAAACATATATATACAAACTTTTGTGAATAAATATTGCGAAAATAAAAAGTAATTGTATAAAATATCAAGTAAGTGTCTTCCTAAAAATAGAATGCTGTGTTTTGTTATTTTGAGTGATTTTCTATCCCTTTTCTTACCAATTATAATGACCAAGACTGCAAAAAAACCAAGACCGGTCTCAAGTACTACAACAGTAATATCCATAAATATTGTTCTCCATCTCCATCAAGTTGCCATTATCCTAATGTTATTAGATGAAGACAGTGATGAGCAGGATTTCAGTCTTGCTCTCTGCTTCTTGATATTTTCTAATGGTCACATAACGCCTGCAGGTGCAAGTGACAGAGATGGTCACCATTGGGCCTAATGAAGTGGTGGACACCATAAAGATCACTGTAAACACCAATCCAACGGTATGACACTGTTTTGTTTATACAAGGTTAAATAACTTGAGTACATTAATAAATATCGTTCTGCCATTTTTCTGATGTTGCTAGATGAAAACAGCTAGGCAGGGTTTTGGTTTCCATGCTAACATCATCTCTCCTGTTTCATGCCAAAGGTCTCCTAATGGACTGAAACGTTCATTCCCATGCCAGGGAATGGAATGTGTGGAATCTTCTGTGCATTTTTAGGAAGCACTCTCATGTATGTCTCTGGAATATCATGGAATTCTTTCAAAGAGAATACCACTGAAACTAATTAAATAGCATTAGCATTTTAGTATGTTTTTTTCTTGTCTCATAAAAAATCAATAAAATAAAAAAGCAAAATAAAATTAAATTGTATGATCTGTTTCTTTCCAACTATATCATACATGAGGTGTATGACTTAAAAAATAAAGCAGTTTTTTTGCCATTTTTGGTCTTATTTCTTTGTCATTTAAGGCATCTAGCATTTTAATAAAAGTTTACGCTTATTACGTTTACTTTAATCCATAATTTTTGTCAGCATCACTTTCTAAGCATCACCTCGACAGGTAAATTAATTAGTTAATAGTTACAGAACTGAAGGCTCAGGATAAATATTAAACAGGGGTACATTTGATTAAAATTAGCAGCTTGTGGAAAATGTTTAGGACTACAGTGTAATGTAACGTAGGAAAAACGCAAGGAACACAAGGAAAAACTATGTGCATATGTATACATCCATTCCAGATTGTAATACTGTGAACTTCAAACCTACACACTGAAACAGAATTATTGGGAGAAGAAAGTTACAGAAAGAGCTTCAGTATTGATAGACATAATAAAGTGCGAAAATAAAAATAAGGCATGCACTATTGATTAAACTGAAATTATCACTTCCTGCATTTCTGATTTGTTGTAGACATTAATGACTCATCTACATGAAGGTTGCCCGTAATTCGGAAGTTGACAGTATCTGCATTTTGAAATTCTGGAATTTCCACTACACTAAAAGGGTCAAAATATGCTTCTGAGTACACTTATCGCATGAGAGAGTCTTCCACATGAATGAATGACAGAAATCTATGTATTAAGGACTGTAATATTTTACCCTTCACATCTATACAATTAAACAGAATTATAGGGAAAGAAGGTTATAGACACTAAATCTCAAAATGTAATGTAATGGATATTTTTAAAGAATGCATAGGAGAGCAAGTCTGCTTGTTTACATTTTACAGATAGAAAATTCCCAGCAGAGATTAGCAGAACTTTGACAGGAAAAAAACTGACAAGGAGGGATGAAGCAACAGCAGCCCAGATGGGTATAAATTGAGCTGTACCTCTTTGTCTCAGCATCCAGACCTTCACCTCAGTAACAGAAACAGGCAGGTTCTTCACACCTGTGCAGCTCAAAGACCAGGATCAAACAGAAACGAGTGTAAAGACCCCACAATGAAACTCCTCTGCATCGCTGTCGTCTGCCTCAGCATCTGTGTTGTTTTCAGCACAGCTCTCCCTGTTACTGAGGTACGTTCCTGTGCCGTTCTGTCTGAGGTCATGCTTAAAGCTATGGTCTTGCTCTCTGCTTTGCTGCTCTGGTCACTTTCTAATGCTAACGGTCACACAACACCAGCAGGTACAAGAGACGGACGGGGGAGACCTTGGGCTTCTTGAACAGGGGGAGACTGTAGAGACTGACACTAATCCAATGGTATGATACCTATCTTGATCAGATAAGATTAAATGCCTTGAGAATATATATAAATATTGTACTGCTTCTCCATCAGCCTGATTTCTTTGTAATGGTACTAATCATGTATGAAAAGTGACTGAATGCTAGTTGAAGACAGAGCTAAGCAGGATTTTGGGGTAATACGGTACTTCAGGGGGCACAAAAACTTAGTAGTGATTCAGTTACTACTGAAGTACAAATCATGAACAAATATAGTAGCTTTTTGAGAATAAAGATGTGTCGCGATTTCGGGTTCCTCTGCTAACATTGTCTCTCCTGTTCCATGACAAAGGTCTTCTTCAGGACTAAACGTGCACCTCGCGCATGCCGATTCTGCTGCAAGATCGGAGGATGCGGCATCTGCTGCGATTTCTAGAAAATACTCTAATCTCTGACTTTTTAAAGAGATATGCACTAAAGCGATAAAATGCATATGAATGAACAAAGCAATTTCACATACAGACTTTACTTCTATGAAAACATCATTAATGGAGGATAAATATTTGAACTTCTACGAGCTTTTATTATGAATTCAAATGTCATACTTACTTTTTTGGTTGTATGGTCTAACAACAAAGAATACAATAAAAATATCTTGAATCAAATTCGATTGTATCGTTTCCTCTTGTTGTCAACAGCAGGTTTGTGTTACTGCAGTAGTTTTGCAAACCCACATGAAATAACTCAAATTATGGGTTTCAGTGAGATTTCAGGCATTTGAGTCTGAAAGTTGCACAAAAACCTCAAATCCATTTTAACTTTCTTAAACTTCTTTCTTTGTGTTAAATGACAGCTCTTGTGGAATGACGATTTCAACCAAATTACCATAAGTTTTGTATTATAATCACAAACTTTTTGTTCATTTCTTTGTAATGGGATAGAAATTTTTCAAAATGATTAACAATTAAAATATTTTCAAAAAGACATTCAGCTGCTGGGACAATAAAAGTTTGTAGATGCTTTCAAATGTTTTATATACTCTCCTGTATCTATCCATCCATCCATCTATCCATCCACACACCCATCCATCTGTCATCTACCCACTTGTCCTCCTGGATGGGACATTAGTCCATTGTAGGACATATTCACTGATATAACAACCATCTCCCGTTCATTCCAACAAGGGACCAAAGGCTAAATTTCCCTATAGAATTGCAGGTAATTCTCCCCAGACCTGTATCCACTGTCCTCCAGTTATATTCAGAGTCAACTTGATCATTCTGGTTCCAGCCGTGCAGGACAACAAAAGATTTGGTAGGACTGAGTCTGCCCCCCCTATGCATCAAGCATGGCAATGTGCTCCTGGATCAGAACACGGTTCTCCTGCTTGCTGCACTTTAGCAGATTAGCACAAACAAACTATTGCTGACACCTGAATCAAATTGATGCAATGCTTCCTTCCAGATTATTAAAGCAATCACCTCACCAATGAAACTGGTTTGCGATCAACATGCCATTGCCGGGTCGGCCTGCTCTGTTGTTGAGCCTAAACCCAAACACTGGCTAGGAATAATTCCAATTTATCCTCCCCGTCCTTGTCTCCCATTGCATAATTGTGCACGTCTGTGATGTTTGCTTAATAAGCTTGCGTTGTTTTTTTTTTTTTGGGGGGGGGGTGTTTTTCATTGCTTTAAAGTATATTAAAGTCATAATATTTTGTTTTTGTAATGAGTTATAATAGCAGCCAGAGCTCAGGGGTATTTGAGCTAGGGAGGTCTTTAGCCTATGAAACTGACTGTGGGGAAGAGGCGAGCTCAGGTCAGGGTACCTGCTCATACAGGTTGTGGTTCTGTCTAGATCTGAATTTTGTGTAGAGCGAATCACTGATTTTGGGTAGAATTTGCCAAGTGCTAATTTTTGTTCACTAAGTGAGATGTCTATTTCTGTGTTCACCTGGCTAGTTACCTGATGTGTAATATGATGGACCATAGTAAGCCTCTGAGACTCCAGTGGTAACTTGACCATCCTTTGTTTCCATCTACCCTATGTGCTGTAATAAATACGTCTACAATTATTAGTAAGAACTTGGCTGTGTGGATTTCAGTATTTTTCAGGTAAAGCAGAACGACTGGCTTAACAAAGGTGACTGTAGCACCATCCTTTACAATACTTAAGTATTGCTTTTAGAAGAAACATGGTGTGTGTTACGTTTGGGAATGACTGATGGGCGACAAAGCAGTGTTAAGGGGCAGGGAATTTTAAACGCAACTCAAAGAACACAAGAAAACAAGACTAAGAGGACTAAGATTCCAAATGAGGATTGTAACGTGGAAGATCTAACATCTAACACCTTCAACACATTCAATAGCTGACAAGGGAATACAGAACAGGCAGAAATTTATATACAGAAGTAATGAGCTCTAAACAAGTGACAAGCATTAGTCATTAACACTTAATCAAGAACTAAGAACTATTACAGTAGGTTATCCAGGGAACAGAGGACATGGATATAAACTAAACACAGGACTAAATATTAGAGACGGCACAGATGCAATACCCACTATTGGTATTGAGCCAATACTGGCAAAAAATGCTGGACTGTATATCAGGGGATGGGGGATTAAGAGCCGACCAGATTTTCCATCAAAGACCGGTCTAGCCTGAAAAAGTGTGACAATGTTTGTAGCCTTAGCGCTAGTGATTCTTGAATGAATTTTTGAAACGGTTCTTTTCAATGAATCGGTCGAATCAGTTTTCAAATTTAGAAGAATCAAACTTTTTGTAGATGCACACGTTGTACGGTACACATCTTAGACTCTAAAAATCAAAAAATATCTGACACATTAGCATATACAAAACACACAGTGACCTTTTTAAATTTACCTATATTTGCTTTTCACAAACTCACTGTAGTCATGTTGCCTGCAGTGACCCTCCTCATACTGGAATTCCTTTGTGTGTGTTCATGCCCAGCTGCATGGTGTCTGTGGCTCACTAACTCCCAACTCCAACAACTGACATGTTAGCAAGTTCGGCACGTTCAGGTGAAGCGGTTCACTGTGGCTGTCTGAGGAGTTCGGCATTTTGGAAAATTCAGTTCAAGTGGTTTCTCAGTAAATCTCGTGACACCCAAAACTCACAGAGTGACTGGTACTTTGCCAAAAAATCTACTCAAGAGTTAAAAGAAATGGTTAGTAAATGTAGCCATCACAATACACCTTGCAAACAGCATTTATTGTATTCTCTATGTTGTGGCTCTGGTGTTGGTTTTTATCCTTTACTGAAAGCATTTTAGATTATATGTTTGCAAAGAGGTACTCGAGATTTTATACGGCTTTTGGAGGCTGACTGTTTGTTTATATTTAAAATCCTAGAGCCTGCTTATGTGATTGTTTTTCATTTTAATAAGACCAGAAGTGATCAATATAGATTTACAAGACTCGGAGGTGACCAATATTTTAATAAAAATAAGATTTTAATAAACATGCAGTTTCAGCATAAATACTTGAACAAATGGCAGCAGCATGCAGTTTTATCTGTGCTCCACTGCATATTTTGTACTGGACTTATGTACTTTTTGCCTAGAAATGGATAGTTGGGGTATACAGTGATATTTTTATGATTGATCTCTGTACTATGTTCAATTTGGCAACAGATTTTTATGAACGTTGGTACTAAATGAAACAAAGAAGCAGA